TTCATCTTGTAATATTAACTTTTGATATAGTATATTATATATTATGCCAAACTTATTATTTATTAGTACTTTTAGAATATTAATAAAAGCTATAATTTGTAATTTGGATATCCAAAAAACCGATCCAAATTAAACCGTACTAAATTGGATCGGAACGGATCAGATTTTTTTAATAAATCATCCAAAACTGAACCAAACCGTAAGTAAATTTACCTTTGGATAGGATACTATTTTGTATAATTCTGGCACACAAGTTCTAGATGTAGAGTAAGATGTCACGACATTGGAATCAGAACAACATAATTTTTTTGCAGTAAAACTAAATACTTGAATGTAAATAATACAATCAATTGTTAACCTAGTTCGATGCAACATCACCTACATCTGGGGGCATCCAAGCCAGGAAGGAAATACACTATAATAGTATTAGTTTGAAGTTATATCAAACAACCTCAGGCTTAGAAGCTTATCACCTAATCACTACTCGTTTTAATTCTACCTAGGAACTCCTAGATATGAGACCCCTCTCACTTCTCACTAGTCTCACAGTGACAAAATCAATAATAAAGAATATTAGAAGTCACACTTCCAAAGACACAAAAATCCACTCTTTGCTTAAAAGCTTAGGAGCGATTACAACTCAAAACTCAGTCCAATTCAAGTTCCTAAAGGATACTTGAATGACTCACAAATGCACAAACAACACAGTCCAACTCAAATGTCAAAATACACAAGAGAGGATCACAAAGAAAAAAGATACATTAAACCCTAATACATTTTCTTTCAATACACAACTTAGTTGCATACTTTAGGTTTAGAAACACCCTTGAATAAACATCACAATAGCATGGGTTTGGGATTTTGAAACACATATCATAAGGCATCAGCTTTAAGTCACTTGCATGATCTCTTGCACAAAAATAGGAATTAAACATAAAAGTTTCCTAAAAAGGCTCCAAGATCCTTTTTAAGAAATACAAGCAAATCTTTCAAGACAAAGGTTCCTAAAATATCTCTCCTTGGATTGCGACACTGTATGAATTAAAACACTATCAAATGTCACACTTTAAATACCAAATCATCACAGCCCTAAACTTCTGGTATAACATGTCCTGACCACATGTCCTAATATCATGCTGATCATGATGTCTGACTAACTTGTCACGACATTTGTCTCAACATCTTGCTGAAAATCACAAAACTTACAAAACTTCTGCCAATCCAAAACCACAAAACTTACATTTTACTTCAAAACTGATCCAAACTGAACTGCGAACACCCCTCTCTGTGCACACTATTGGGGTTGCTAGTTTCCTTATTACAAGGGTTGGAATCCCTGGTTGCTGCACTTTTTCCTTGTAGCTTGCTAACTCAAAGTTAGTATAGGAAAATACCTAAAAAATGAGATATTTTGAGGGGATTTTTCCATCAATTTTAACTTCAAAACTAGGCTAGATGCCTTACCCATGTTCCATATAGTTTGTAAACCCATTTTCTCTTGCAGAGATCCCTTTGAGCCATTGATGTATTGAGCAACTTTGTGGCTCTCTGATTCTCCCAATTCAATGCGCTCAGAATAATGCAAAAATTCACATGTTTATTATGTCACAGTTTTCTCGCCTTGAACACACTTAATATACATCTTATAAATAATTGTTCATATTCCTTTGCTAAAAATCTCTCCAACATCAATTGTTTCATTCTTCACCAAGTTCTGACTAGCCCCTTCCTTTGCCTCTGAACAAGAAGTTTATCCCACCAAACAACAACAATACTCTTCTGCCTGAACGTCACCATCTTAACTTTCTTGTTCTCAAGGATTCCCATAACATCGAAGAATCTGACAACGTTTATCTATCAATCCAGAAACTCTTCCATTGTCATTGTTTCGTGGAATAATGGAATATCAACTTTCACTCGACAATAATGGTTATGTCCATTTTCATGATAAATTATCTCTTCCTCGTTGGATTCTTCTTATTCAAAACTTAAATTATCAGTAATAACAACATGATTGTTTCCACTCCGCAGAAGCATAATCAGTTCCCTTCTATTATCCCTTTATTGGTTCCCGTTGTTGTTGGCGTTATTCATCTGAGTTGTTAAATTCGCCATATGTTTGGTCAAAGCAGTTAGGGTCGTGGTAAGAATTGTGGTAATCTCCTCAAGGTCTGCTTTGGTCATTGGTTGATCTCCCATGGCTAATCAAACTATGAAAAGAAACATGAGAAAACATGTTTTAATGCCACCTGACGTAGTCGGATTCACAAAAGATTAGGAAGCGCTAAGTCTAGAATGAAACACAAGTTTGCAAACGACAAACTTCTTAGATAAAGCTCTAGAATCCACCAAAAAGAGAAAACTCCCTAATTTTAAGATGTTTTAGACTTTTCACACAAATTAAAAAATATATTTAATTTAGTATGGGAAAGAGAAATAATGTATGTCTTTACAACAATGTACTTAATTTATTACATAAGAAAGAGAAATTTATAAAATTGGAAGAAGAAATAGTAATAAATTATAGATGGTATATTGGGAAAAATACCATTAATGTTGGATTGAAATTTATAAAATGACTTATAATTTATAAAAACATTTTCTAAAATGTCTTATAATTTGAAACATAGAGAGTAAAAGATAATTAACTGGTACATTCCAAAAGTGTTTAAATATAAAAAAGAAACTTTAATGCTAAAAATATTCAAAAACATAAATAAAACAAAAATTCTAAATTGTGGAAAATAAAATAGAAATTGCTAAATTTATGAAAATATTAAAATGTTATTTTTGAATCTGAGACAAACTCGATTGACTTCAAACACCCATATATCACGACAAAATTATGAATTGGACTCGTGAATCAATTTCCTATTTAAAAAAGTATAGTAAGACCCATTCTGACATCAAACACTAAATTTGCACAAATCACATCGAACTTTTTTTAAAGCTAGGTCTCTTCTTCTTTGATACTCATTCTTATATCAATATTCTAAAAGTGAAACTTACTAATATGATAAAGAGTATTAGTATTGTAGTATTATATAAATCGGATACATTAAACTAAAATTGGACATATTGATATGGTTCTATTCTTTTTTTCTTTTTAATAGTTATTATATTTTATATATTATATAAGTCAAATATATTTTGATTATTCAATAAATTTATAAAAAAAATTATTATATATAAATAAGAGTAAAAATAGTAGTAAATATTATATAAATAAAATATAAGTAAACAACAATATGACGTGCAGTGCTTTCCAAGTGTAATCGCACGAATGTCTAGATCCAGTAAGTAACATGTTGAAAGTTGAAATTTGAATAATGAATCATATTTTTATCCATATAGTATTTAGTTAAAGAAAAATGCTATTTACACCCTTTTTTACACCCAATACTTACACCGTATATACTATTCACCGTATTTATACGGTGAACAGTGTTTTTTTATTAAAATAATATATTTTTTTAAAATATTATTTTTTTAAAAAAAAATATTTATTTTTAAAATTTATTTTATAACACAAATATAAGATTGCGCATTAACCAACTTCACAATTGCATTAACCACAAAAATCTACATTATTAGCCAATTATTTTACCTATAATTTATTAACCACTTTCACTACTTCATTAACCAATAAAATACACACTATTAACCATGTTCTGGGAAATTTGTTCAAGTATTTGTGAACAGTAATTAAGGTGTAAGGTGTAGAAATGGGTGTCATCATAGCAATGTTGTTACTTAAATTAAGTTTTGTAGCTGAATACTACTAGTACTCCAACACTTTACACCTTAAATACCTTTTACTCCAACAAATCAAATCAAACATTGTTGGAGTACTATTTAAATTGAATAAATCAAATCAAATCAAACATTTTACACCAAGAACCATACTTGAAAATTGGTCATACAAGCTTCAAAAGAGAAAGAAAACACGCCTTTAAATAACACTCTTTCGCACCTCTAATAACACTCTTCCTATTTTCAACATAAATTTACTCATCTCACCCTTTTTACCTTACCCAGAACCTAATATTTACAGCACAACCTAAAACAAACTCACAATCACACCAATGTCAGAAGACACCGTTGTCTATTATTTCATTACCTCAATCGTAATATCAATGTTGACCATATTTTTTCCCAATTTTCTCCCTATTTGAACCCTTTCACATCAAACATCTATTTCTACCAACAACTTCCAAAACAAACAATATTATTCCCTCTTATTTCTATTATAAATAAATTTTTAATTTTTAATTTTTTTATTAATATTCAATGTATTTATATATAATTCAAATAAATTGATTTTTTTAATAAACATTCAAAATTATTTTATATTAAGAATTCAGAGTACTCTTCCTGTTAGTAAAAAAAATTGACATCAAAACTTGGTCACTATTACTACAATTTATTTAATTCAAAATGTTGATAGTTGATTCATTATATAGAGTTAGTTTTACCCTGAAAATCCTACCGACTAGTTTGATTCAAAACAGCCGAATATCAACTTTCCTACAATAAAAACCCTCAACAATCCTATCATAGCCTCATTTTCAGTTGCAAGTAATAAAAACAGTTGAACAACAAAGAACCATAACATATCGAAGAAAGCATTATCGCAATTTTCCAAAAGAGTAAATTCTATTGAAGTAACAACCAGTGTACAAATTCGGTGCGAGATTCTTCTCATACATTGTTCAAATTGTAAGAAGAATTGAAATATGTACAAAGTATTGAAACAGAACCTACAATGCAGGAAAAACATCAAAGAATGATGTAAACAAAAAAACAAAATGTATCTACCTATAATCTTCAAGCCGAAGATATCAAGCAAATTGGGAATTATACCGATTCCTCTGCAGAAACAATTGATTGAAAACCGATATATCATCGGAAGATGATTTAGCATAAATTTTCCTCTTCGAACACTGCCTCTAATTCCAGATCAAAACTATTTTCGGCAATTCAATTAAATTCAATTCAATTCACCTCATGGACATCAATGTGCGAACTCTTTTCTCTCTTTCGGCTTTCTTAGCACTCGGCGTTCTTTTCAGTTTCATTAATTCTTGTTTCACTTCCATCTCAACTTTATCAATAGATTTCAGAAGCTTCTTCTCAGGAGTAAGAAACTCTGATTCTCCATCTTCTTGAGGAAGTTTCATAACGTCAATGAGAATCTTCGAAACTTTGCTACCCTGAGGTGTTCTTAGTTTCGCACACGAGTTTGGAGAATTCTTGGAGGCACGTGAACCAGAAGCAGAAAACGAAGAAGGATCGGAGAAAACCACCAACGGAGTCGCAGAAAACGGTGTCGTTCCAGTTTGCTGAAATTCCTCATTTCCGATTCTACCCCTCCTTCTCTCAATCGCCTAAACAAATAAAATTAATTAAATCATTTTTCAAATTAAACTAAACTAAACAACAGAATATTCAGCACTGATTAACAAACACACTAAGTAACAGAATATCATAAAAGTAAAATTAAATCAAATTCAAATAAATAACAAATAAAAATAAAAGAACGTTCTAGATTAAAGATGAAACCGTTTTATCAATTTTGTAGAGAGAGAAAGAAAGAAGAAATCGAGAGAGAGAGAGAGAGAGAGAGAGGTTTACTCGAACAACGGCAGTGATATCGCGAAGCGGAGTTCTCGGATACCAAGAAGGAAGAACACTACGCGATGAACTACCACGAGTTCTACCACGGTGATTGGTGACTGGTGGAGTGTTTTGGATGCCCGGAGCGTGGTGAGGACGCACACGCGAAACTCCACGGACGATGGGAGTTCGTTGAGCAACGAACAGATCTGGTCCGGCGGTGAATGATGGAGCAGCTGGGAGAGTGAGCGGGTTGGAGTCTTGAAAGATGGAGGATCCAAGGGGAGTGAAAATGTCGGCCACGTCGAGCGGCGTGACGCGGCGGTCACGTGCTTCGGGCATGGTTGTTTGCGGCGAGAGAGAGAGGAGGGTGGAGAAATGGACTCGGGATTGGGGAATTTCAAGAGGGTTTGGGAAGAATGGTTGTGGTTTGTATTTGTAGTGAGGTTTGTTACGACTGGTTAGGGTTTTGGTTTTGGCTTGGGTTCGGGATCGAAGGAGGGAGAGGGAGAAGCGTTGGATTGGGATGAAGAAGACCCATATGGTAATTTTTTTCAAAAATATAAAATGGCGCTTTTATATCATTGAGTACTCTGGTCTTTTTCTCCGAATAAAATGGATTAATTTGAATTTAAGTTTATTATTTTTCAACTTTTGACACGTGTGTAGTCATTCTTATCCGTGCCGAAAGTTAAACGGTCTATTTGAATTTCAAATTCTCCTCTGGGCGGGATTTTAGTATCGTTACTTCAGTGTCAGTTTAAATATTATACTTTTGTATTTAGTATTTATTTATTTATTTCTGTGTGATTCTTTTTTGTTTATTCGAATAAATGTAACTGATTTCATTAATTAAAGAAGAACCGATCCAATGGGTTATTCGGTTTTATACTGACCTTGATTTCATTTTTAAATTATTTTTTATAAAAAAAAGTTAATTTTTTTAATATTTATCATAAATATAATATACAAAATATATTATTTTAAATTTAATATATTTTTAACTATTATATTATTTTTTAAAAATTATAACATGTTTTTTAATACAATTTAATATAAAAACAGAAAAAAAAATTGTAAAATAAAATATAAAATAATTAACTATAAATTCGACTAAATTAATTTGTAATATTTAATTGAATGTATTAAGAAAAAATTTAAGGAAGTAACACTACTACAATATAAATAAATATTAGTACAATTATTTAAAATTTTAATTGTAATTTTGTTCCTTCTATTTTCTTTTTTTTTGAGTTTTGATATCTGTATTTTAAAAATTAGGTTTTTGGTCATTTTTTAAGTTTTATTTTAAATTTTAATCCCCATCCTAATTTTAATCTAACTTTTTATAAAATGGCATATATATTGATGACTTGGCAGATCCATATTGACCATTTTTATTTTTATGTCATATTAATTAATTATTCAAAAAATACACCATTGTTTTAAATATTATTAATTATTCAAGAAAAACTTCATTGTTATTAATAATATTAATAATAAAATTCAAAAAGTACAATTAAAAATACATCTTTGATTTATCTTATTTCATAATTCAAAAAATTTATTATTCAAATAATACATCATTGGTATTATTAATATTAATAATGAATATTAATATTAATAGTATTAATAACTTAAAAAATATATTTCATTAATATTAATAATGAACTCATTAATGTTAATGATATTAATAACTCAAAAAATTTGTTCATCTCCATCTCTGATTTCCAAACGTGTCCTTCAATCAATTATATTTACCAAAAGACAACACACACTATAATGATCATATTTAATCAAATTGATAAATCAAAAGACTCAGAAAATAATTCAAGAACACATTGTTTCTTTTGTTACCATTGAATTTCACAAATGCTAGTGCGCCAGGAGGAAAATAAATATATGATATAACCAAAGACCTAAAACAATCAATTTTATTCTTTAATATGAAAACCAAACACCCTGAATTCAAACACCATAGTTTATATTCACGTTTACAAGAGATTTATCTTCCTTTCACCCCTTTTGTCATCGACATGTAAATAATAGTCGGAACTAAAACTTGAACACAAAAACCTAATTGTAACTAAGCGCCGAACAATTAAACATTCATCAACACTAAATCCTTTGTTTCACTTTCAAAATTTCTTCATACGTTCGTAGTCTACCTGCAATCCTCTTGAAAAAATAAAGGAAGAACGATAAAGAACTTGAGAATAAACAATCATCCATGACAAATCATCTACTCGAAATTCAAATATTACGGTATAAATATATAATAGAACAATATATTTCTTTATGCATAGATATTAAATCAAGTCCAAACTGATCGGTTGATCTCAATACCAAATCAAGAAATATATATAATAGAACAATAATATGAGAAGAAGAAGAAAGAATAGAACAATAATATTACGGTTACAAATATGGAGATTAGTAAAAGACGAGAGCAAGAGTTATGGTTCTTTATTTTGGGGAAGAACACATTTTCTAGGAACCACGAGAACACGTTTTGAAAAAGAGGTCAAATTGAATATTACGGTATAAATCAGTTAATTTATTATTATTATTATTATTATTATTATTATTATTATTATTATTATTATTAATGAAATATTTTTAAATGAATTGCCATTAAAAATTTAATAAATAATGAGCTGGAAAAATGCATTATAATTTGACATTATCACATCATTAGAATAAGCGTCACATCATTAAAAATTATTCTTAAATTAGTCGAGAGATTAAAATTCAAAATAAAACTTAAAAAAAGGACAAAAAGTATGATTTTTAAAATAGGGAGATCAAAACTCAAAAAAATGCAAAATAGGGGGACCAAAGTTGTAACTAAATCTTTTTTAAATTTATAGTTATATAGGCCAAACAGATTACTCGTGATCCATATGAGTTAGTCCTAATGGATAGGCTAAAATAATCCTAACAAACTCAGAACTTTAATTTTAAAGTTCAAACCATATGTTATATCTAACTTGACATGTCGACTCATATGGGTATACTCTTTTTTACGGCTCTAAACTAAAGTATTATCAATACAAATTGGAGGAAAAATTAAAATATTGGTGAGAAGTTTAAGAATTAATAATTCTTATTTGTGTATGAGTAATCAAATGTAATTAGGTTTCTTTGAATGAACTATACACAAAATTTGTAAAGAAATACGATACAAAATATTACTAATGATTGATCCAAAATTTGAATGTGTCTATCGAGGAGCTTTGAATGAAATCAATTATGATCTTTGAGTAATTTTTTAATATAATAATCGGAAAGCCTTTTTGTTTGACCCACCGCATAGATGTGAGAAGGCTTAAGTATCACATACCCTAATTGAGACGAGATGAGAAGTCCAACCGGACAACCATGTGGAAGGAGGCTTCAAGAAGTAATATCTTGTTATAGGTGGATTTCATCCTTCACCAACAGTTTATATGGTTGCTTAAGATTATGATTTCAAACCATGGTATTCCTATTTTTTCAAAGTTTTTGTGTCAGCATAAAGACTTGCTAAACATGTCTTTGGTGTTTTGTGTCTATTGTTCCTATTATTCAGATTGTTTATTATCGAGAAAATCATATCTTTGACATTTTGTGCCTCTTTGATAACATGATTAATGTATTTCAATAGGCTCGCCTTAGCCCATACTATCTGACTAAAGTCACAGCATACCACATGCAACTGACTTTCGTTGGAAAGCTTCTTTAGATAGAGCTTGTATCCAAATTTCGCAGTGTAAAAACCTTGTTAATCACCATCCCGTATGAGTTTATCTCTCACAAAAGAGTGGTAGAAAGGTGTTTGAAGTATCCTATAATCCACATCTGACTAAATAGAGTAGTTAAGACATATTCTTCCCACATCCACACACTCTGATAGATAAATATGTCAACACGAATATAGTAATGATAGAATTAATTCAACAACAATTAATTATACAAGAAATTATCTATACATGATTTCAATCATAATTTAGGTGCAAAGTAAAATAAATAAAGAAGAATGTATATATTACAAGATATATGACATGTTAGTATGTGAGAAATGAGCTTGTAGGAATACTTGTGTCCATGATGATAAGTCTTTCGATACGAATTTAAAATGTAAAATTGTAGAGGCGAGTGACAAACACTTGTTGACTTATGGATCTACCTCAACCACTACTCTAACTGCCTTGAACACTCTTAGAATGGGGAGAATATATAACTTATGTAAGATATATTGAGGGTCATGGCCGATTTATAGTGTGATGACTAATTAAGATTTTCGTTATTCTCAAATGAATCATTTAAAAATATATTCACTCATATGGAGCTCATATAATTAATTAAATATATAACTAATTATCAATTTTAAAATTTAATTATTCTTCAATTAAACAAATACATATACTCACATAATAATATTGAAATATAATAATTTAATTAAATATTTCAACAACTAGATGTAGTCATGTTTCAAAAAGGGAATCTAGGTGATGTTATTAAATCGAAGTCAATGTTCATTCATTATAGTAATATGATATGAGTTATGATCCTCTTCGTTTCTCAAAAGAAATCTAGAGCTCAATTACTAAAGTTTTTGATGTTTCATTTGTTGTTGGAATTGGTGACATGTATTTGTATAATTTAAATTTTATATAGTAAAAATATTAGTAATGGATCTCTTTATTTTTATTTTTTTGGAAAATGAATGGTATCTCTATCTGATATTAAAGGGATCATCTATTTTTCAAATATGTTAATGCAAAAGGATGTGTCATGTTAATCATATCTTAGAACAACTTTAGCGCATGGTTGTTAAACCAAAATTTTGTATAGCTTACGTTATTAATAAAGAATTTGCATTATAGTAGATCTGACATGACATTTAGTGAACTAAAGTTTAGTTACCATTATCTATATAGTTAACGTTAACTATTCAATGTAAAATATATTATAATATTATTTAATATTAATAAAATATTCCAACAACATTAAATTAATGGTAACTTGAATAAAAAATATAAAATGTGGGGTCAAGTTTTGGTTTCTTATAGACAACCATCATTAAAGTAAAAACTACTCAAATCAACTATAAATTTTTTAAATCCTACAAAGCACTTTGGGCCCACAAAAAATATCTTAGTTTACCCATTTAGTTTACTCCCATTAAAGATGCTCTTAGCGACGAATAACTAGAGTTGTTGCTTAATTTGGAATCTAAAAAAGTGTTATAAGAAAGTATATTGCTTTATATATGAAGTTAAAAAAGCCGTGCATTTGCTAAATGAAATAGCAATAAATAAAAAAGTTATGCTGATGCGTTTTTGTTTTTTTTTGTTTTG